TAAAAAAAAAAAAAAAAAAAAAAAAAAAAAAAAAAAAAAAGGCCCAAAAATTTAAATTTTTGGGCCCTTTTTTTTTTTTTTTTTTTTTTTTTTGTAAAACAAAAGAAAGAAAAATAAAAATAAAAGATAAGAAAGGGCCATCAAATTTAAATCTTGGCATTAAAGTTTCTTTTGGATTACTAAATTTTTAAAATAAATTAACTGAAACAAAATGTTACTGAAGTAACCTCTCTTGTCTAAATCAATTTATTTGAAATATTATGAATGATGTGCGTACGTAATTCATGCCGTTCTTAATTGACCCAAAAGAAGGTTAATATTTGGTAGAATTATTTGGACATTTGTGGTAATAAATATTTGACAATTTTAAAGTTTTCTATTATGCGAATATTGAGTCGCTCCAAGTTAGATTTGATGTTTGACTTTATTACAATATTTGATTACTACACCAAGAGTATTACTTACAAGTTGATATTCCTGTCAAAAGATTAAATATCAATGTGCTCGTCTCTTGTTCTAAGCCCACCATTATTTGAAATTATTGATTGTCTAAAACGGACTTTCATGTGAACATATTATTTTGGTTTAAGCTCTCTATTCGATTAATCAATCTACTTCTACAATATTTGCCAACTAATCAATTCAATTTCTATTCTTATATATATCCAGATTTTAAGGATTGCAAAGAATACATTCATATAGTTCTTAGATAAATGGATCTAGATCTTGCGTTAAGGACCGAACAACCCACTGCTCTTATAGATAAGAGCTCCATTGATGAAAAATGGGACTCAAATAAGCATAATCATTTAAATCGAATGAGTCTTATGATCATAAAGGGTGAAATTTCAGTACCATTCAGGGTTGCTAAGGTAAATACTGTCAAGGAGTTTCTTAAGTAAATTGAAAAATGTTTTGAAAGGCAATAAGGCCAAAACTAGCATGCTTTTAGGGAATTTAGTTTCACTAAAGTAGGTAAAGATAGTTTAGAGGAGTACATCTTAGAGATGTCTCATCTTGCTTCAGCTAAAGGCATTAAACTTAAGCTATCTCATGACTTGTTCGTGCATTTTGTTTTGACTTCTCCTTCTACACAGTTACAACTGTTAAAACGGAAGTAGACTCTTAATTAGCTTATTATATATTGTGTGCAAGAAGAGGAAATGCTAACGTAAAATAAAACTGATGTTACTCACTTGGCAAGTACCTCTAAGGGCGAGTCAAAAAATAAAAAAGTTGCATTTGGTTCAATTCAAAAGGAATAACAAAAGCCTGAAAATGATAAATCATATAGTTGTTATTTTGTGAAAATCTAGGACATATGAAAAGAGATTGTACTAAATATCATGCTTGGTATGTAAAGTAAAGTGCACTTCTCACTTTGGCCTATTCTAAGGTTAATTTAGTTTCAATAGACACATTTAGTGGATAAATTTAGGTGTCACTATTTAAATAAGCTTGTCTATGCGAGGTTGTCTGAACAGTCTAAAGCCAATTGATACTAAAAGATTCAGCTCATGTGGGGCGATGGCAAATAAATTAAAGTTGAGGCTATAGGGACTTTTAAGTTATTATTAAAGATTGGTTATTATCTAAATATGAAAAAATTATTTGCAAAATTGTCTTTTAGACGGAATTTGGTTTTTATTTCTACATTGGACAAATTTGGTTACCCTTTTTTAATTGAATATAGTCTGCTTAATCTTTTTTCTTAATTCAAATGTTGTGGGTTCCAGTTATTTATTTGGTTATGATAACCTATCTTTGCTTAATATGGTTGCATCTTATAAAAAAATCTCGCATGTGAATTCATGTGCTTTAAACATTTATTAACCAATGAGAATCTCGTTTCATTATGGCACAAACGATCATATTACATCTCTTGAAGAAGAAAGGAATAGCTTGTATCAGAAAGAATTCTTGATCCCCTAATTTTACGGGCTTTACTGTTTGTATTAATTACATTAAGGGAAAATAGACAAACATAAGGAGATTAATTCGTAGAATTTTAGACGTCTTAGAACTAATTCATATTGATTCCGGGGCTATTTCTTTTAGCTTCTTGAAATGGGTCAACAGTTATACAGTACGTTTATAGACGATTATTCTCACTATGGGTACTTGTATCTCAATCATAAGAAACCCAATCACTGAACATGTTCAAGGTTTACATGGCTAAGATTGAAAATCAACTCAGTAAAAGAATAAAACAAGTCAAATTTGACTATGGAAGTGAATATTACAATATATATGACGGAATATGAGAATATGTCCACGTCTTTTATAAATTCCTACAGGAATGTGGAATCATTCTACAGTATACCTATGTCTTTATAAGAAGAAGCACTAAAAGTTGCAAATTAAATTCTCGGTAAAATTTGAAATAAAGCAACTGTCAAAATCCCTCATAAGCTTTAGACAAGCAAGAAGTCTAATTTGAAACACTCGTACATTTGGGATTGTCCAGTTAAGGCAAAACCTGATATGCCGTAGAAAAATTGAAACCTAAAATTATCACTTGCTAATTTATTGAATACTTTGAAAGGTCAAGGGGTTACAAATTTTAAGATCTCCTATTAGATTAATTTTCAAAACGAAAAAATTCAACTCTAT